AGACAAGAATAGATAATAATTACTATAAATTATTTGCCGACTCTGCCGTTAAAGTAGAAAATTCATTTGCTTTTGGTGCAAAAGCGAACGCAGGTAGCGGATTTGCCGTTAAAAAAAGTCAAAAAAAACTATCTCTTTTGCTGGCTGAGCCCTATATAAATTAAGAAATCTGCATAAATTATTCTACATTAGCCCTAATGCGAGTGAAATAATTAATAATCATCAAAATAATTTATATGAGCTAGGACAAGAATTAAATCGTGACATTGATGGCGCAGCCCTAAAAAAAAGAAATTTTTTATTAAAAAATCTTTATAACATTTTAAAAATAAAAATACTTTATCTGCTCTACTGCCTAGCCGATTCCTGCTAGACGACGGCAAAGATAAAAAAAGAATTAGTTCGAAACCGAGCGGAAAAATAATTAATTCTCCTTCGTTATCGCTAAAAAAATTAACTCTATCTCATTAAAAGGTTTAAGAATTTTAAAAAAAGCTAGTAAAAATAAAAACTTCATACTTAAAACGCTTAAATGAAATTATACTAATTTTAAAAACTATGAAAATAAGTATTTTAAAAACTTTATAAAAAAATCTTATAGAAAAGAAATGTTATACTTATATTATGTTAAAATGTTAAATGTTAACAATAATAAATTCAAAAACTGATTTATACTAGGTTTAAAAAATATAATATCTAATATATATAATAAAAAAGTTGAATTTAATTTTGTTAATTTAAAATATCTGCACTTAAATAGTGACATTTTTTCAGAATCTATTGCTATAAAATTGAGAAACCGGGAAAATAGATTATTAAGAGTACTTAAAAAAGCCTTGAAACTGGTTAAACTACCATCTTTAAGTAAATTATCTTACTACGGACCTTCTAGTGGAATCACACCTAGCGAGAGCTCGCTTCGCGCTAATATTAATGGAAAATCTTTAACCTTAAATGTAAATTCCTATATATCTAGGTTAAAAGATAAAGATGTATTACATGAAATATTGTACAAAGTATTCCCTGGTTGAGGAGTAGCCAATACGGAGAATTCTCCTATTAACAGACAGTCGCGTAGCTCGCTTCAAGTTAAAAATAGCCTACAGGAAAATATCTTAAACTCTACTGAACATAAAAATATTTATGGTGTAAGACTAGAGGCCGCAGGGAGATTATCTAGACGTTTAACTGCCTCAAGATCTGTATTTAAATTAAAATATAAAGGAAGTTTAAAAAACATAAATTCTTCTTATAAAGGGTTATCAACTGTTATGTTAAGAGGTAATACTAGATCTAATCTACAACTTACAAAAATTAGTTCTAAAACACGTAATGGTGCTTTTGGATTAAAAGGATGAATAAGTAGTAATTAATTAACACTTTTAACTTTTTCTTTTTCTCGCACGATGCGAGACAAGAAAACCCATTTCTTAAAAAAAATAGGTAAGAGTACCTCCTGTATTAAAGAAAATATTTTCTTTAACCGTGAGTAATTGCCTCCCCTATTTTATCTCTTTTCGCTTTGCTTATTAAAAATCTAAAATCTGACGGCTTACCCGGAAGACAAAATAGCAGCTTCGCTGTTAAAAATAAAATTTAAACCAATTTGTTTAGGCCCAGCGCCTAGTGTATTAAAATCAAAAAAAAAAAAAAAGAATTGAAAAATTAATATACCAATACCTCAAAATCTTGATACTATAAGTGTTTTTTCACAAATCGATCCTTCAATTACACCACAAAATTGTGCGAATTGTAATAGTATTAATTAAAAATATATATTTTATCTCTTTTCGCTTTGCTTATTAAAAATTTAAAATCTCTAATAAATAAATAAAAAAAAATATAACGCTTCGCGCACGCTTATTATTTTTTCACTAGCCAAAAGAAAGACTTGTCTTTCGCCTTTAGATTTATTTTTATTCTTCGCGCTCTTTCGTTGCTCTTTTGTTGTTAAAAAAAAAATTTAAGCTTAAATGATTAATGACATTTATAAATTACATTAGTAATGTAATAGATAGATAAAATTTTTATCGATTGTTATTCTCTTTTAATCGGGGAGGATAAACTATTATAATTTTTTAGGGCTATGCCAAAAAAAAGAAATTTTGAGTTTGATGATGGCTCTGATTGAACGCTGTCCAAATGCTTGACACATGCTAATCGAACGTCATAGGATTAATCCTATGAAGTGGTGTACAGGTGAGTAAATGAAGTTATAGCTGCCTTAGAGTAAGGAGAAAAATCCCTTATAAGGTAACAAAATAAAAAATTTGTTACTAAAAGAAAAACTTTCGCTTTAAGATGTTTATAATTTTCTCGGGTAAGTAGTAGTTGAGGTAATTGCTCAACTAGCTTAACCCCGTAGTCGAAACTGAGAGGTTGATCGACCACATTGGGTCTGAAAAAACCCCAATACGTATAGTACAGCAGTGAGGAATATTGGTCAATAGCCTAACGGCTGAACCAGCAACTTGGAGGAATGTAAGTCTATGTAGGGTTCGCCTTACATATACGTTTCGACTACGTCGTATAAAGTTCTAGATAGAATACTGATAATGACAATTTTCTATCTATATGTCTTGACCAAATCTCGTGCCAGCAGTCGCGGCAATACGAGGAAGACTAGTGTTATTCATCTTTATTAGGTTTAAAGGGTACCTAGACGGCATATCCAGCCCCAAAAGGGAACAGATATACTAGAGTTTTATGTGAGAGGAATATATTAGTACTATTGGTGTAGAGATGAAATTCTTTGATACTAATAGGACGGATAAGAGCAAAAGCAAACCTTTATGTAAAAACTGACGTTGAGGGACGAAGGCTTGGGTCGCGAATAGGATTAGATACCCTAGTAGTCCAGGCAGAGAATTATGAATGTTATAGACTTGCGTATGTAAGTGTATAAATGAAAGTGTAAGCATTCCACCTCAAGAGTAATGTGGCAACGCAGGAACTGAAATCATTAGACCGTTTCTGAAACCAGTAGTGAAGTATGTTATTTAATTCGATAACCCTCGAAAAACCTTACCACAATTTGAATACTTCGACAGTTGGTCGTTGTACAAGTGTTGCACGGCTGTCTTCAGTTAATGTCGTGAGATTCTGGTTAGATCCATTAAATTAACGTAAACCCTTACTTTATTTGTTTTTTATAAAGTAGTTCACCGCTATATTGGATGTGATAACAGGGACCAAGACAAGTCATCATGACCTTAATATTGTGGGCTATAGACGTGCCACATATGCCTTTACAAAGAGAGGCGAAAATGCGAATTTGAGCTAATCTCTAAAATTGGATATAAAATGAATTGCAGCCTGTAACTCGGCTGCATGAAAAAGGAATTACTAGTAATCGTGAATCACCACATCACGGTGAATTTAATCTCAGATAGGTACTAACCACTCGTCAGGCGCTGAAAGGAGTATGTGCAATAAGTTTGGTTTCTTGTTAATCTAACCTCATCGCAAAAAGCCGATGATATTTTTTCAAGCAATCTTCGTATGCGTGACTCTGATTGGTGTTAAGTCGAAATACGGTTCGTGTAGTGGAAATTGCACGGGACTAATAAACATTAACAACACCCCCCCCACTAAATAAATAAATAAAAAACCAAATCTAGGTTTTTTTGTAGCGCTTTAAAAAAAATATATTTTTTTTAATGCGAGAGTTCCTCCTGCACAGCGTTGTGTGGCCCCGGTAGCTACGCGCTATATATAAATTATATTATTTAAATAATAATTATAATTAATTACATTAGTAACGTAATATATTTTTAACCCGTTAAAAATTATTACATAGCTACAATATAAAGAAAGCTTTATATCGTGGTATTTAAAGTTTAATTTTTATCGGAGTGAGCTATGTGGAGAGAAAAATTTTATAAATTATAAATAATAAAATCTGTGATTTAGTCAATGCTCTTCACGGCGTTAGAAGCTTAAATAAAAACCCAGGCTACCCCACCCATTAATAATAAATAAAAAAACCCTGTGGAGGTTAATAGATGTTTACATATATCTATATTCTGGTTCAATTCCAGTTATAGGCTCATGACAGGTTTAAGTATAATAATAAGAAATAAGCAGATTTTTTTCCTACTATGTGTTTGGATAACACAATTTTTAACCCAACGCGTCGCAACGCGAGGGGGTAGCCTAGCTACCCCCTTAAAAATAAATTCCTGCTACAAAGTATGAAATAAAGTCATCGACAAAGTCGAAGACTTTATTAATTCTCCGGGTTATAAATTTCATTAGTAATGTAATCGAAAGATAAAATCTAGATTATTATCTTTTAATAATAAAGGAGAATTCCATCGTTGGTAAGACGGGCTGAGCTGTAAACTCAGTAGCTTTACGCTTTTGAGAGTTCGAATCTCTTTTCTCCTATTTTTGTTTCCGGAGTTTTTTTATGGGTGGCGTAACCCTATAAAAATATATAAAAATTTTACCTACCAACACTATTATTTTAAGATTTACATATAAGCCTTTATAGCTCAACGGTAGAGCGAGATACTGTTAATATTTTGATAGATGTTCGATTCATCTTAAGGGCTTTTGGATTACCCCCGTTATTTTATTTTTTATATTGGTAGATTTCTAGATCTATTTAACCCCATCGATCAATACTCGAAGGGATGCCCGAACTTAGGGTATCAAGGGGCGGTAATACCGCTCCGCTGAAATAAACACAAAGTAATGGATAATATATAAAAGTTTTTAACCCACCACATAAATAAAGTCTTCGACTTTATTTATTTAATAGGAACTTTCTCCGGGTTAAAAAAAAGCATATATGTCATTAACCTAAGAATTTAAATAAGAAAATTAAAATATGCGCTGCGCGTTAAAACTCTTTAATATTAACTTATTTAACTTAGATATTTTAGATTTAATCTATGTTGTATTTTCCCACATTAATTTCTGTGCTTGAAGTTGTATTGGTAGTCGTACCTGCCTTATTAACTGTAGCTTTTGTTACAGTAGCTGAAAGAAAAACCATGGCAAGTATGCAAAGAAGACTGGGGCCTAATATCGTAGGATACTATGGTCTTTTACAGGCATTTGCAGATGCTCTTAAATTACTTTTAAAAGAGTATGTATCGCCTACACAGGCTAATATTGTTTTATTTTTCCTAGGTCCTATAATAACTTTAATTTTCGCACTTTTAGGTTACGCTGTTATACCTTGGTCTGTCGTATTAAGGAGACGACATTTGTGGGGTTCAATAGTCAAATTCCGGGGACACCCTAAAGCTTATATTACCAAGCTCTAGCTGAAAAGCTAATAGTGGCTGAGCTAATCACTCAGGTAGGGTAACAATATATAAGATAATCGAAAGAGCAATGGGTTATCGCGGATCTAAGTCAGATATAACGCTACGCAAGAATAATTCTTCGCGCTAAAATTATATTTGTAAAAGAGCAAAGAGTATACGGCTGTTGATGCATTTTTCTCTAGAGATTAATGCATTTAAGATGTATTCTAATGGATTTCGAAAGAAATTATCTAGTCAAAACCTTTTTCTAAACAATTAATTATATAAATAATTAATTGCATGATAAATTTGATTAATAGTACGGACCTGGATTAGCAATCTGAGATTTTAACTTAGGTATACTTTATATGTTGGCAGTTTCTTCTCTTGCTACATATGGTATCCTATTAGCAGGTTGATCTGCTAATTCTAAATATGCTTTCTTAGGTTCTCTAAGAAGTACAGCACAATTAATAAGTTATGAATTAATATTAAGTTCTGCTATTTTATTAGTAATTTTACTAACCGGAAGTTTAAATTTAACTGTTAACATAGAAGCTCAAAGAGCTATATGATTTGTAATACCTCTTTTCCCAGTGTTCATTATATTTTTCATAGGTTCTGTTGCAGAAACAAACAGAGCTCCGTTTGATCTTGCTGAAGCTGAGTCTGAGTTAGTTAGTGGGTTTATGACCGAACACTCTGCAGTTATATTTGTATTCTTCTTCTTAGCTGAGTATGCTAGTATAGTGCTTATTTGTACATTAACTAGTATTCTATTCCTTGGAGGTTATCTTTTCAATGTTATACCTTTAATTTATCTTTTACAAGAAATTGACTATACATTTATAGAAAATCCTGAAAGTTTAGAATTTTTATTCAGTCCTTTAGTAGAAGGGTTATTATATGGTTTAAGCTTAGGATTAAAATCATGTATTATGATCTTTACATTTATTTGAGTAAGAGCATCTTTCCCTCGTATACGTTATGATCAATTAATGACTTTCTGTTGAACAATTCTATTACCTATAGTTATTGCATTTATTGTATTAGTTCCTTGTATTTTATACAGTTTTGAAATTATCCCTAGTAATATTTCTTTATTCTAATTCCTATCACTGAAAAAAAAATAATAAAAATATAAAATAGTCAAAGGTTTCCTTTATTAATTAGTTAGATTTTTTTTTTTAAGGGGCAAAAAAAAATGAAAAAACGTAACTTATTAGATTTAATGCTTATCAAAAATATAGCTATAAAAACAAATCCGCCTAATATATGTAAAGTACCGTAAGCAAATAAACCAAATTTAGGTATTATGGTTAGTTAGAGCATGATTTAAATTTAAAATTTAGAAGACTAAATTAACTATTTAGAATTTAAAAGTAATAAATGATTACTATTGCAACACTAAAGTAAGCTAAATGAAGAATAATTTTTTATATTATTTTTTTAGGGCGTCGGCTGGCGTCGCCTCAAAGAGAATATAGTGATATTATAATAATTAGAAATCATAAGCATATATTAAAGTAGAAACACTATAGTTTAAACCATCTAATATAGGAGCAGGGTATATACCTAATACTACTGTAAACACAACTAATGTTAATAAAATAGTGAATTCTCTTTTGTTAACATCAGATATACTATTCAAGAAGTATTTAGATAAAGATCCTCCAAACACTATACGGTTAAACATAAACATAGTGTAGGCAGCGGAAAATACTATTGAAGAACTCGCTAATGCACCTAATATAGGCATTCTTTCAAATCCACCGTATAAACACATAAATTCACCTATGAAATTTAGAGTTAAAGGAGTACCAGCATTACCTAAACATAAAATAAAGAATAGTACAGAGAATAAAGGCATTATCTGAGCTATACCTCTGTAGTAAGTAATTAATCTAGTATGAGATCTGTCATACAGAACACCACCCACACAAATGAAAAGTCCAGATGACACGAAACCGTGACCTAGACCTAAAGCTATAGCACCTTCAATACCTTGAATAGAGTTACTAAATGATCCCATTAAGTAAACCGCTGCGTGAGCTACGGAACTATATGCAATTAATTCTTTAACGTCTATAGTTCTTAAAGTACTAAAGCTAGCATAAATAATAGTTATTACACATATAACGTATATAAGTGGTGTGAAATACATTGAGGCTTTAGGTAGTAAAGGTAATATTAATCTGAATATACCATAAAGACTTAATTTCAACACTACTCCCGCTAATATAATACTTCCAGATAGTGGAGACTCAACGTGAGCTTTTAATAATCAAGTATTTAAGAAATAGATCGGTGTTTTAACAGCAAAAGCTATAAATATACCAACAAATATAAATAATTGAGTATAATAGTTAAAATTTGTTTTATACAATGCATCAAAATCAGTAGTTCCCATGATAGATGACATTGCAAGAATAGATATTAATAAAAATAATGATCCAAAAAGTGTGTATAAAAATAGGTAGAAACTAGCTCTAACTTTATTACTTGAACCAAATAATCCTATTAATATGAATAAAGGGGGTAATATACTTTCAAAAAAGATATAGAAAAGTAATACATCTAATACTAAGAAAACTGCTAATAATAATGTTTCTAGTAATAAAATAATTATTACAAATGATCTTACATTTTCTGAAATTGAATTTCAATTAGATAACAATGCAATAGGCATTAATATAGTTGTTAAAATTACAAAGTATATAGATATACCATCCACACCTAGATAGAAATCAAAACTACTTACTTTATGATATTCTTGAACAAATTGAAAATTATTACTACTAAAATTAAATAAGATAAATACAATTAATGAAACAAACAAATTAACTATAGATGTAACTAAACCAGTTAGTTTAATTTGTTTTATATTCGAGTGTGAATTGTCATGATACATTGTTGTAGTTATTAAAAATAGACCTGCTATAGGTATTAACAATAAAAGCATAAGTAACATAAGATATAAATAAATATGTATAAAAAATTTTCCTGTTTAACTGACCACCCATTAAAAATATCTAAATATTTTTAACCTTTGAGTAGTCATTAATCCCCACTATGGTGGGAGGGGTGGGATTCGTAGCCGGACTAAATAAAATAATCTCCTAGAAAGAAGATTATTTTAAGTACACCATACACATGTGTATGGTGAAATAAATTCTCACCCGAGATTTGAACTTGGACAAAGATATTAGGAATATCTCGTTCTACCATTAAACTAGTGAGAGTTTTAGTACTTACCTCAATAATAAAAATTTTTAACGCTCCGCAAGTGGAACTCACGCTATATAATAAAAAAGAACCTCAAATTTTTTAGCGCGAAGAGATCGAAGGTACAAAATTAATCCCACAAAATAAAGGTTAGACTATAATTAATTATAAATAAACTAAAATCGCTATTTTTTTTTTTATTATTTTTGTGCTTTATCTTGTGTAGCTAATTCAATTAAACTGTTTTCTAAAAGACTTACTAATGGCACTATAATTAAGAAGTGTGAAAAGTAAAGTACAGTAGAAATTTGTCCAAATTCTATGAATGGTGTTTCAACGTGTTTTGCACCTAATTGCATTAAGATTAAGAAGTTAGCTATAAATATAAAGAAGGCTATTTTACTTAATGGTCTGAATTGTATACCTCTGCTTCTACTTAAATCTGTGAAAGGCATAGCTAATAATATTAAGATAGCTGAGAACATAGCTATAACACCTAATAATTTGTTAGGTATAGATCTTAATATAGCATAGAATGGTAAAAGGTATCATTCCGGAACTATAGCAGGTGGAGTTTGCATAGGGTTAGCCATAATGTAGTTATCACTATCACCTAACACATTAGGCATAAAGAAAACAAAGATTGATAATACTATAATAAATAAGAAAATAGTAATTAAATCTTTAAATATGAAATATGGAGCAAAAGGTAATCTATCGTAGTTACCTGATACACCTAATGGGTTACCTGAACCAGCACTATCGTGTAGTGCTATTAAGTGCATTAATGCTAATGCAGCTAATACGAAAGGTAATACGAAATGTAATGCAAAGAATCTGTTTAAAGTTGCATTGTTAACAGAGAAACCTCCTCATATAAATTCAACTATATCTTGACCTACTCAAGGTATAGCACTCATAAGGTTAGTAATAACTGTAGCACCTCATAATGACATTTGTCCGTAAGGTAAAACATAACCTAAGAAGGCTGTAGCCATCATTAATATAAATATTACAGTTCCAATTGTTCAAACTAATGTTCTTGGTGCTCTGTATGATCCATAGTATAAACCTCTTCCAATGTGTAAGTAAACTATGAAGAAGAAAGCTGAAGCTGTGTTAGAATGTAAGTAACGAATTAATCATCCATTATTTACATCACGCATAATGTGCTCAACTGAATTAAATGCTTCTAATACACTAGGATTGTAATGCATTGCTAAAGTAACACCTGTAACAATTTGTATTACTAAACAAAAACCTAATAATGAACCAAAGTTTCAAAGGTAACTTAAATTTGATGGTTGTGGTGAATCAACTAAATATCCATTAGCTAAACTAATAAGAGGGTGACTTTTTAATAATCTCATTTTAATATGTTTATTTGTATATCTGAAGTTATTCTAATAATCTGTTTTATCCTTAGTGGATAAATTTGCCTAGTTTTTTAACGCTTGCGCGAAAAAATAAATTTGAAAATTTACATTACAGGGTGGCGAACCCATAAAAAATTAGAATATAAAATTTTTAGTTTTTATTTTTTTATAACGTAATTTTTACATTTTTTCATAAAAGAAAAAAGCTATTACATTACTAATGTGATAGTTTATTTAAGCTTATTTCTTTTAAATTATTCTTTTTATACAACCAATTTTTATTGTATTTTTTATTAAACGCAAAGCGAAAATGAAAAACCATTAAAGTCTTTTTTAATGATTTTTTTGTATAATTATTGTAATTAGTCAACTATATCTAAACGGCTTTATTATTTGCCATGTGACTAAATAAGTTATGAATATGATCTTGATGATCCCTATTTAATAAATTTCATA